TATTTAATTTGAAAAAGTATAAAAATGGAGGATTCTTAAACTTACTTGACACATCTTTTCGTAAATGATGGAGTTTCATCATTATTCTGAAGTGGAACGTAATAATTTTTTCGTGTGTTGCTTCCTATAGCGGAGTACATTGCTGTTGCTGCTGCTGCTGTTGGAGCTTTCGTACAAGCGGGTATCGCAAGACTGATCGCATTCTCGTAAATTGTGATACTTCGTATATGGTGTTTCTTTTAAAATTTAAGAAGGGGCAGGCCGTCCCCCCTCTTTCCAAGAATTTCAAACGTGTCGCAACACGTTTATACATACGTTTATACATATATGCATACGTACATACATACATACGTTTATACATACGTTTATACGTACATATGTTCATACATATGTTCATACATACGTTCATACATACATACATACATACATACATACATACATACATACATACGTTTATACATACATGCATACATACATACATACATACGTTTATACATACATGCATACATACACACATACATACATACATACATACATACATACATACATACATGCATATGTTTATACATACGTTTATACACACATACATACATACATACATACGTTTATACATACGTTTATATATTCCAAAGGAAGGGAAGGGAAAAGAAATCTAAAACGTATTTAAAAAAAAAAATCTCGTATTTTATTCTTTAAACTTGATACATTCTTTTTTGGCGTTGTGACTACCAGTTATGTATTTTAAATACATTTTGTAACGCACAATTCTTAATATGTTTTCCACATCGCATAGTATTGGTAATATCTAGATTATGCAAAGAATCTATATCTTTGTAATCAGCATCCAAGGTCTCAATGGTCAAGTTGTCGCTATCGAGTACATCAGCCTGCCATTCGCGTTTTTCACGTCCTTTAACGTATACGAGAGCCTTATTGTCGTCATTCTCTTCCACACCAATTACAGCTATTGTAATCAGGCGTTTCACCATGGTGTACGGGATCATCCCGTCTTCCCATTGCAATCCATGGTGATAAGCACTCAGCCAGGAAGCGCAATACTTTTCTGATTTTGTCAAGAAACTCCATGGCATAGGATGCGTAAAAATGTAATGAAAGAGAATGGCTCCTTTTCTCAACACGTCACTTCCTTCA